GCATGTACATTTGTTTTTATTTCATTTTCACAAAAATCTGGTAAAGTATGTACTTTTATGATTTTCTATTAATTTATCCAAAGTCAAGCCAAGACTTGAGGATAGCTCTAGGACACCCTCCCTTCAAAAAAATCTTTCAAACCGGACATTTGAGGGATGATTTTATGTTTGTTTGATGTGTTGCTTTTTTATTTTCTGCAAGGGGGAAAAACAAGCTGTTACCTGTTTGCCATTGTGAGTTACCGAGGACAGGATGGTTCTTAATGTCTTGAATCCCATAGCAATGTCGAGAAGGTGAGCAGCAAAAAAAAAGTTGTTATAGTGTCCAAGAACAGACATCGTCATATACCAGGCTAGGTAGAGGAAGGACTATTGAGACAAAAGAGGGGGAAAACATGTCAGAACATAGAAGGCGTGACTATTGTTGTATGTTAAGCAAAATGAGCCAGGAACAGAAAGTTAAACTCTGCATGTTCTTACTCGCATGTCGAAGCTTCAACAGTTAAGCCCATGGAAGTAAGAAGTAGGAGAGAGGACGCTAGAGACTGGGGAGAACAAGGACGGGGAGGAATAGGGATACAAAGTGATAGGTAGGTAGGAAAATAAGTCCCAGGGTTCTATGCCACTGTAGGATGACTGCAGGTCACAATAATATAGAGCTTCAAATAGCTAGAAGGAGGATATTAAATGCTCCCAACATAAAGAAATGATAAATGTTAAAGAAAATGCACATGCTAATTATCCTGATGCGATTACTATACTTTCTCTCTCTCTCTGTGTGTATATGTGTGTGTGTGTGTGTGTGTATTTTTTTTTTTTTGAGACAGGGTCTTGCTCTATTGCCCAGGCTGGAATGCAGTGGCGCAATCTTGGCCCACTGCAACCTCCACCTCCCAGGTTCAAGCAATTCTCTGACTCAGCCTCCCGTGTAGCTGGGACTACAGGCACATGCCACCACGCCCTGCTCATTTTTTTTTAATTTTTAGTAGAGACAGGGTTTCACCATCTTGGCCAGGCTAGTCTTGAACTCCTGACCTCATGATCCACCCTCCTCAGTCCCCCAAAGTACTAGGATTAGAGGCGTGAGTCACCACACCTGGCCTAATTTTTTTTTTTTTAACGGATGAGGAGTTATCTATGTTGCTCAGGGTGGCCTTGAACTCCCAGCCTCTCCTCCACATGTGCCAGGACAACTGGCCTGAGCCACTGCAACCCCCACTTTATATACATCAAAACATCACTAGGTACCCCATGAATATGTACAATTATTTGTCAATTAGAAAAAATTAGAAAGCAACTCTGATTTCACTCTAATTACTCCAATTACTTCATCTTCGTACACTATCCATTTTTATAATTCTAGTTAGCTGTATCAGTTTGTTCTTTGTATATTTCATTTATACTTAGTTCTGAAATGGTCAGTGTCATTCTCCTTGAAAACACTGTTTTAAAGTGTTTTAGGAACTGTAATTGTTCTTATTTATCCTCCGTTAGAAAAACATTTATTGACTTCTTACTTGGCAGCAAGCTTTCTCAACCCAGCGCTACTGATATTTTGGATCAGATAATCCTTTATTATGGGTGCTGTTCTGTGCATGGTAGGATGGCAAGCAGCAACCACCAGAGGCCAATAGCACCGACCCCACCTCTCCCCCGAGACATGACAACCAAAAATGTCTCCAGATATTCATTGCCAAATGTCACTTAGGAGACACAGCTGTTCCCCAGTACAGAAGAACCCTTGCTCTACAGCTAACCAAAGAACCAATCATTCCCCCCCCCTCCTTTTCTTTGCTTTTCATTTATTCACTCACCAAATCGGTGTTTGCGGAGACCTACTCGTTATGAGATTACATGAAGTGTTTTATTAGCCAAGCATCTCACTTTACATAAGTCACATTAAGTCTAGGAGAAACCCAATTATGTGGTGTCACTGAAAGCTATAGTACAATTGGGACTGTTGTAGAAGTCTCCTGGATTATAATTAATGTGATTATTCACATAGGCTGGAAAATGAATGTACTTTTCGGGGAGGACCGTGACTGAGGCAGAACAAAAACACAGTGGCTGCTGTTCCTTATGGGACTTCAGTCTCTGCGGCATAAGGCCCGTTTTGCTAGTGGAGTCAGAAACTGCCCATTTGGGGAAGGGGTGGACACCGTCATTTTGACTGTACTATGTCTTAATCTTTCACAAAGAACAGAAAGAGGCGGCTGAGCTAGTAAAGGATTTGAAGGACTACGTGGAACTGAAGCTAGAGGTCAAGTGGCAGAAAAGAAAATAGCATTTTTTTTAAAAGCACACTGAGATAAGAGTATGCAGTTTGCTTGGGAAGGAAAATTTTGCTGGAGTGGTGGGTTCCTGTTTTGCAAGATGAAGCTGGGGAAGTATGGCAGTGCTGGAGAGGCTTGAGGGCAAGTACCCCAAAGGAACTGGAGTGCCACTGCGGTATTACAAGGAGGATCATGGCTTGTGAAAATGACATTTTAGGACAATTTCTGGAGCACCTACAAAGTGCTGGTCAATGTTCAATATATTTGCACATATGGTCTCTTTTTTTATTTTGGCAAGATCTCTGATGAATAGGCATGTTTAGCCCCAATTTACACATGAGGATGAGGAAGTGAGCTTGCTCCAGTTAAGCTATTGGCTAAAAACACTGTAAGTGGCACAGCCATTAAATTAGAAGACTACTGGGCACACCCCAGGGTGAGGTTCCCAGAGCAAAAAAAAAAAAGCAAAACTGGAAAGGATGGAAGGGAGAATTACAGAGGACACACATAGGACCAAGATTCAGCAAATAATCAGATACATGCATTGGAGGGAGAAAGAAGAGGAGGAGTCCATGTGAATAATTTAAGCTTAGGTAGTAAGAACAAAAATACTAACAGAGAAAACTGTAGACTGAAGACTAGATGTGGTGGGGAGGAGCAGAGGAGAAGGAAGATGACAGTTTGCCTTGGGACATTCAGATGGCAGTATCTAATGAGCCATTAAGAAATGCAAAGACTGAGGAAAAGGAAAATTTATGGGCAGAAGATGAGGAAGCACCTAAGTGACAAGCTGGGCCAAAAGTGCGTGTGTAGATTCTAACATATGCCATACAGTTAAATTGGAATCAGAGATAAAGAATAAATGATTTTTAGTTTAGTTTTAATGTCCCATGAAATAATTTGCAACATACGTATGCTAAATACTATTTTCTGGTTATCTAAAATTTAAATTTAGGCATTCTGAATTTCATCTGAATTTCACCAGATGAAACAATAAGTTCAACAAGTATGTTGAACATGTGTGTGTTTCAGAGAGACACAGTAATACTAAAGAATGGATACATGTTGAGAGATGATTGGCCAAACAGAAGCCAAAAAATTGCAGGTGGATAAAAGCCCACTAAGGTGGCAGAAAGCTGTCTGAAGAAAGACTCTGTCCTGGATCTATCCATGCCCAAATTATCTAGAGGACAAAAAATGACATAGCAAGATAAATATTATGGATAAGCTGCATCTGGGCTGAAGTGGCTGTGCAGATATTGGGGCATGGAAGATTGGGGCAGAACTTAAGATGGACTGGCCACTTGAATGGAAAATGCCAACTGGAGCCAAAGTTGAGGTTGCCCTCTTGTTCTTCAGGGGATTTGCTTCCATTTGGATAAGAAATTAGTTGTACGATAGTGTATTAATCGTTTATGGTTCTAAAAGATTCTTGTACAACATGATTTTGAACTCTTAGAGAATACTCCTAAGATACCCAGAGTTCTGGGCCCATGGCTGGATGAGGGAAGGGGTAGGGATACACGCAGGAGAATTTGGGGGCTGCCATAGGCTTCTAAATATTAGAATGGAACTAATGTTAACTATAAAAGTCAGTGCTAAAATTAAAGAGGGAAATCTTGAGACACCTTGTGGCTTTTAGTAATAGGTAATTTTTTTCCATTTTATTTGGATACATATTAGGGGCCCATATTTAGTTTTGAAAGGCGCTTTGGTAAAAGAATTAATAAAAAAGGAAAAAAAAAGAACTCCATAATTTAATGTACTTAATTTGGGGGAAACCTAAATTTAGCAAAATTAATGTTCCTTTAAAATTATTTAGGAGTTTCTTTTTAATATCTATAAGACCGATGTATGCCATTGCCCAATTAAAACCTGAATGAACATACTCACAAATCTGCATCTCAGTTTTTCTCTGGTGTAAATATATTTTCAGTTTAATCTTTCAGCTATTGAAAGAAATGGAATGAGAGATAGGCTGGTTAATCATATCTTCTATGGTTCTCTCTCCAGATCTGGTCTGTATAAAGTGGATTGGTATTTGAAAAATTTTCTAAATAACCATCCTTCCATCTGCAGAACTCCCGCAGACTTATCTAATCACAGTGCATTTTCTTTCGTGGTAATGAAGTAGGCTTACGTTGTCAGTGAAAACAACTCCTAGCTTCCACATCTGATACTTCACATCAATAGAGTTCAGTCTGTAACAACAACAACAAAAAAAAGTGTAGTTATGCACATTAACCAAAGACTCAGAGGCTTGCGAGAGCCTGGTGGCATTCACATTCCGTGGGACAAGACTTGGAAATCTCAGGAAACTAGTTCTCTCCCAGATGCCAACGAGGGAGCTGAGAGCCAACTCTGACACTAAATCCTTGAGTTTCATGATGTGTTTTTAGAGGATCTTGGAAAACAAAATACCATCACCTTTGTCTTGTTATTTTAGTCCTTTCTTTTTCCTACAATCAGTCTTAGCCAAGCTCATTTTATGTATAACACTTTCTCTTTTTTTTTGAGATGGAGTTGTACTCTGTCGCCCAGGCTAGAATGCAATGGTGCTATCTTGGCTCACTGCAACCCCTGCCTCCTGAGTTCAAGTGATTCTCGTGCCTCAACCTCCCGTGTAGCTGGATTACAGGCATGCACACCCCTCCTGGCTAATTTTTGTATGTTTTTATAGACATGGGGTTTCATCATGTTGGCCAGGCTGGTCTTGAACTCCTGACCTCAGCTGTCCACTTTGGCCTCCCAAAGTCCTGGGATTACAGGCGTGAACCACTGCGCCAAGCTGTATGTGACGTTTATTCCTTGAAACTATTCTAAATTGGCCAACGTGTGTACACATCAAAAGTTTCTTCACTTTCATATACACTTACAATTGCATTCCAACAGAATAACTTTTTTTGATTCAACTAATAAAAGCTAGCGTAACTATACACATTTATTTTACAACTACCTTATTTTATAAATGAAAGGGCTTTTGAATTTTGGTTTTACTTGCTTTCATTTCCAGAAAATTCACCTTCTCTGTTTCCTTTTCCTTCCAGGCAGGAATTTAGCCCTTCCTTGGTTCTCGTAGCATTTTGTAGACAACTCTTCTTATTACTATTTCTCACTTTGTCTTACACTTGTAGGTGATAGTATATGTATATACGTGGTTATACGCCCCTCTTACTAGTCTGTGAACTCCCCAGCACCATGCGCAATATCTCACACACTGAATGTCTAAATACATAAAAGTAAATATCTGTGATCTTTGCAGATCACACATATATTAAAATATACATCTTTTCATTTTTTCAGAACTTGTCACTGAATTATGGGCTAGAAATTATAACATTGTCAGCCTTTCAATATTCCAACTCTAAGGAATTGATATAAAATAATGCAATGTAACATAATGACAATATTGTTTTCTTTTTTCTTTTTTTAAATTTTGTTTATTGCACTTTAGGTTCTGGGGTACATGTGCAACACATGCAGGATTGTTGCATAGGTACATACATGGCAATGTGGTTTACTGCCTCTATCCCTCTGTCACCTATATCTGGCATTTCTCCCCATGTTATCCCTCCCTAACCTCCCTACCCCTCACTGTCCCTCCCCTAGTCCCCCCCAACAGACACCAGTGTGTGACATTCCCCTCCCTGTGTCCATGTGTTCTCATTGTTCAACACCTGCCTATGAGTGAGAACATGTGGTGTTTTTCTGTTCTTGTGTCAGTTTGCTGAGAATGATGGTTTCCAGATTCATCCATGTCCCTACAAAGGACACGAACTCATCATTTTTTATGGTTGCATAGTATTCCATGGTGTATATGTGCCACATTTTCCTTGTCCAGTCTATCATCGATGGGCATTTGGGTTGGTTCCAGGTCTTTGCTATTGTAAACAGTGCTGCAATGAACATTCGTGTGCATGTGTCTTTACAACAGAATGATTTATAATCCTTTGGATATATACCCAGTAATGGGATTGCTAGGTCAAATGGAATTTCTATTTCTAGGTCCTTGAGGAATCGCCACACTGTCTTCCGCAATGGTTGAACTAATTTACACTCCCACCAACAGCGTAAAAGTGTTCCTATTTCTCCACATCCTCTCCGGCATCTGTCATCTCCAGATTTTTAATGATCGCCATTCTAACTGGCATGAGATAGTATCTCAATGTGGTTTTGATTTGCATTTCTGTAATGACCAGTGATGATGAGCATTTTTTCATATATTTGTTGGCCTCATAAACGTCGTCTTTTGAAAAATGTCTGTTCATGTCCTTTGCCCACTTTTGAATGTTTTTTGTTGTTGTTGTTCTTGTAAATCTGTTTTAGTTATTTGTAGATTCTGGATATTAGCCTTTTGTCAGATGGGTAGATTGCAAAAATTTTTTCCCATTCTCTTGATTGCCAGTTCACTCTAATGATTGTTTCTTTTGCTGTACAGAAACTCTGGAGTTTAATTAGATCCCGTTTGTCTATTTTGGCTTTTGTTGCCAATGCTTTTGATGTTTTAGTCATGAAGTCCTTGCCTATGTCCTGAATGGTTTTGCGTAGGTTTTCTTTTAGGGTTTTTATGGTTTTAGGCCTTATGTTTAAGTCTTTAATCCATCTGGAGTAAATTTTAGTGTAAGGTATCAGAAATGGGTCCAGTTTCTGCTTTCTGCACATGGCTAGCCAGCTTTCCCAACACCATTTATTAAACAGGGAATTCTTTCCGCATTGCTTTTGTCAGGTTTGTCAAAGATCAGATGGTTGTAGATGTGTGGTATTGCCTCTGAGGCCTCTGTTCTGGTCCATTGGATTATATCTCTGTTTTGGTACCAGTACTATGCTGTTTTGATTACTGTAGCCTTGTAGTATAGTTTGAAGTCAGGTAGTGTGATGCCTCCAGCTTTGTTCTTTTTGCTTAGAATTGTCTTGGCTATGCGGGCTCTCTTTTGGTTCCATATGAAGTTTAAGGTGTTTTTTTCCAGTTCTGTGAAGGGGCTCATAGGTAGCTTGATGGGGATAGCATTGAATCTATAAATTTGGGCAGTATGACCATTTTCACAATATTGATTCTTCCTAACCATGAGCATGGAATTTTTCTCCATCTGTTTGTGTCCTCTTATT